ATTAATCTAGTGGCGTATCAAGTAGCGCTTCCTCCTGAAATGGAGCATATGCTTAATGTCTTCCATATTTCAATGTTGAGGGATGGGATCCCTTCCATGTGATCGAGCATACCCGTGTAGTGCTAAGTGATGACTACACTTATGAAGAACGGCTTATTCAGGTTGTAAACCGACGAATCAAGAAGTTGAGGAATAAAGAAATTCTGCTAGTGAAAGTGGACTGGAAAAACCATGGTGGCGTCTATGCCACTTGGGAAATGGAAGACGATATGATGAAGAGATATCATGAATTGTTCCCACTGAATCCGGTATTCTTCCAAAATGAAGGTAATTCGAGTTTGGAGGACCAAACTCTTTTAAGGAGGAAAAACTGTGACAACCCTCACCTCTGATTAATGCTAAACTGTAACTGAGAATGATAAGTAACTGATTATGATGAAATCCTAAATTGATTACATGAGTATATTGTTTGTAATTGAATTTCTATCTATTTGATTATAGAATGATATGTTCATGTTTTAATTTCGAATTTGCGAATTGAATGTCTTATCGGTGACCGAACAAGAAATTGATTGGTATTTTATACTAATTAGAATTTATGTGATTTTATGGTAGGTTTAATGAAAATTTGATTTGGAACGATTAAATTGGATTAAATAATGTTAAATTACATTAGTTTGAGTTATTACCAAATTGCCATTAGTGGGCCACTTTTATACAACACTTTGAGACTTAATTCATATCAGTTGGTGCATCATTTTGTCCATCTTCTAGTCCAAAACCGAGAGAGAGAGAGAGAGAGAGGGAGAGTAGGAGAAACTTGATTTCAACAAGGATTAGCTTAGAGACTTAGAGGAATTGAAGTAGATTGCAAAATTGAGCTTCCATACCTAGAATTCAAGACCCAACGTTGAGAATTCATCATTTGGTTTATGTAATTAAGTTGTTTCTTACATGATTCATGGAAATTTGGAGATTAATGTCAAGAATTGGCTTAAAATGTTAAATTGAGAGTTAATCCTTACATGCATGTGCATATTCTTGAATTTTGGAGTTGTTTCATGAGAATTTCTACATGCAAGTTCATATTTTTGTTATGGTCCATGAATTCATCTTGATTTTGAGCTCAACATTGCATTTGATCTTATTTTGAAACACTAGAGTTCATGAGAACTCATGCATGTATGATCTTGCAATGTTCTTCGTGCTTACACTTAATTTTTGTGTTCAATTGGCTTACCTTTGGACTTGATCTTACAAATGATCTTCAAAAACATGTTATACTATGAGTTTCCAAGAGTTTTCTAGAAAATTAGCCCAAGGGGATCGAATTTGAAGCTTTAAAAGTTGAATTTCATGCTTGAGGTTCAATCTAAAAATTTCAGATTTTGGACCTACGCTCGAGCGTAGGACTTCACGCTCGAGCGTGCAGTCTAAGTACATGCACTTCCGCTCGAGCGTGGAAAGTCACACTCGAGCGTGAAATGCATATGCCCAGAAGTTCATGTGTTTTACAGTCCGCTCGAGCGAGAAAGTTCACGCTCGAGCGAGGACCTGAGTCTTACACTTGAGCGGAGGTCGAGTGTCCGTCGAGCGTAAATTGCATGCATCCAGTACTTTTCTTGAATTTACAGTCCGCTCGAGCGAGAGAAGTCACGCTCAAGCGGGGATCCTTTGTCTGCATGTCCGCTCGAGTGTAGAAAGCCACGTTCGAGCGTGGACCCCTGTTTCAGCAAGTTTTGAAAAGTGTTTTAAAGTATATCCTTGCATCCTCTTTCCATCCTAGGCATTCTTAGGCCATGTTTAAGGCATCTTATTGAGGATATTAATGTAGAACCACACCGAGTCAAGATAGGGACTAAGTTGTTGATTCCCAAGTGTGTAACTTAGTGTGTGTTCGTTTTGTAACTGTGTACGGTTGGCATCCGAGGACGCTCATTAGCTGCTTATAGCCTAGTGCTCTGTGAGTAACAATGTTGTAAAGATACGTTCAATTATGATTATTTTCTGAATGATCAACTGTTCTGCTTATTGAAACGTTATTGTTTAATGAATGAATGTTTGTTCTATTTGTAAGCTGTATTCGTGGCATCCATAGCAATTTATTGTTATTGTACTGTTACTGCTACTGACACGGAGATTTCTGTCGGTTCCCATGTTTGGAACCACTACTGTTACTGCTATGATGGCCATCGACTGACTATTCGGTCTGTTAAGACCTACTGTACTGTCTTGCTATGGGATGCACCGCATATGACTGCTATGGTTTCTAAGTGACTGATATGACTGTTTAATTACTGAAAGGACATTCATTCTTAACCTCTTTACATAACTGTTATTCACTGGGCTTTAGCTCACTGTTTATATATATATATATATATACACGTAGGTGTCCAGGCACCAGACCAAAACTAGGAGCGTCGGGTTAGCTCTTGTTTTGTCAAGCCAACCTTTGTGCCTCGCCTCGAGGTTCCAAGTCCGTTCAAGTTACCGCTGTTTTGCGGTGTTCGGATTCACCCTTCTGTTTCTGTTTTGTAATAGATGTTATAAACTCCTACTGTACAGTTATGGCATAGGGATTGAATCCCTAACCTGTATGTATGTATATCTGGTATGTAAATGTGTTTTGATTACGAATGTAACTTGTTCATATAAGTCTTTTTGCATTCAGAATGTCACAGCTCATTGGACATCTTTATTTACTGTTTTGGCTTCCGCCAGCCCCTTGACTCTGTATTACTGTCATTACTGTTAAACAGGCCTTCGGTAATTACGGATTGCTGGTCGGTTACGGTGCTAAACCCATAGGGGCGGGTTTGGATCGTGACATTCATGAAATTTTAAAAATCAAATTTGTCACTTTTTTTTTTTTTTTTTTTTTTGTGGTTATCAATTATAATCCGATTATATGACTATGAGTATTTGATACAAAAATGCTTTATACCCCCGTCGACCCCCAGTGAGGTGGAGGCCTGTGATTGGGCGAAAAAAAAATTGTTTCTCTTTTTTTTTTTGGTTGTCAACCAGTGGGGGCGCGCCACCTCACTGGGGGTGCGACCCCCACTGGGTGTATTTAGCAGGGCTCTATTTGATAATATATTTTTTTTATCCGACAAATTTTATAAAATCAATAATTCAAATTCAAATCCAAATCCAAATCTTCACTTTTATGATTGTTGGTTTGTTCTCGGATTTGTTTATTTTTTTTTACTTATTTTCGACTTTGGTGAATTTTTTTTGAAATTTTCTAAGAAATTTTAAATTTCTAAATGTTTTATTATTTAGATACATTTATTATTAAAACATATCATAAAGATGATCAAGAAAGATTTTTCACTTTTAAATTATACATACAATAAAACACTACACACAAATTAAAAGTTAAAAAATCTTCATGATTACAGAGATGGTTGATATCAATCTGTTTTCTTCTTTAGTTGGGCCATGCATTAATGAGGTTTGTTTAATTAATTAATTCATTTAAAAAAAAAAAATTTGACTGATATAATTTATGTTTACAACTTACGATGCGAAAAAAGTTTAAATAAATAAAAAAATAATTAGCATATTTGGTTTCAGTTTTTTGAAAATTGAGTTTTTATTTTTCGTATTTTTTTGTTTTTTGTGAATATTTTTAAAATTTTAAATAATATTTTTACTTTTTTAGATACACCTTACTTAAATGTATCTAAATAATAAAATATTTATGAAAAAATATTTTAAAAAATTAATAAATACACAAAAATATGAAAAATGTACTGAATTTTCATAATTTTTTTTGTTGTATTTTTGGTATTTAGTGAATTTTTTTTAAAAAAATTCACAAATGTTATACTTTTTAAGTATATTTATGTTAGGTGTGACTAAAAATTAAAAAAAAAAAAATTTGTTTAAAATATTAATAGAAAATAAAAAAATAAATTTTTTTAAAAAGTGTTTTTTAAAAACCAAACCAAAGCGGGTTGGGCATCGTGCCGTGTTGGATTATATTTGCATCATGTTATTTTGGATTCATCTCAAAATTATCTTGACAATAACATAACCATTTATTAATCTATGTTATCGTGTCGTCTCATTTTCCGTTCATATCCAGTTTGTGTTATGTCAAAAACTTTTGCCATTATTAGCTAAACTTGCGCCATCACATAACCAACATAGCTGCCACCACCATCAAAACTACTTCACCAGCACCAGCGTAACTCTCTATTATTGCCATACTCTCACCATTGCCACCATCACATACCCCACTACTACTGCCACAACCTTCAAACCGCCACAACCTTCGAGACATTCTCGTTAATGCTACCATCGTCATCATTATCGCTACCACCACTACTACTACTACCATCACTACTACTGCTCTATCACTACTATTTCACCACTGTTATCACGACCACCATCGTCACTAGTGCCACCACTATGCCACCGTTACCCCCACCTTTGCCACCGGTACCCCACCACAAGACAACCACCACCACCACACCACTACCCTACATCACTAACTATCATCCCACAACCTCAATATAGACTAGAAGAGAAAAACTAGAAAAATTAACAACATAAAAATCAAACTTAAAGTTCATGTGCATATCAAGCAATTTGATTAAATTCAGTGTTTTAATTTTCGTACTTAATAAACAAATTTACAGATTAGAAAATTTAGCATTCAATTTTTAGGATTTAATTTTCAGTTTTCATGTAACATTTTCATCCAACAGCATGCAATTATTTGGTTTCACTGCAAGTGTTAATTTGTCAAGGCTCTCCGCACTTAGCTTAGAGGAAAGAAGAATGTCTCTTTTGCACTTGTGATACTTACACATTGCAGAACCTTCAAAAATGCACTTCCCTAAGAGTCCCTAAACTACATATTATGGTCTATGAGCACAAAGTGGAAAATTACCAATTCAATGTTAGCTCATATACCCTGCATTTGATGTTGATTTGTTTACCTTCATTCCTTTGGTTATAATTTGGCTGGATGTTAAATTGATTTTCAGATAAATGACGAGGATGAGAACCTGTCATGGAAAGCAATTGGCTACTGTGGACCAGACCCAGATTTCAAAATGCGAACTAAAAAAAACAAAACACTGAACGAAATGGGATATCTAACGTCAGAAGATCAAGGAAAAGAAAAGGATGTTGATAAAGAAGAGCTCTTTGGACCTCTTTACAAAGGCCTCATTCATCTAAATAACCCGCGACAAATCATTGCAGAAACTCTCCGACGATCAGGCTTTCAAGTCTCAATTCCCCATCAGAAAAACACAAAACCAAATTCACTCACTCCATCTTTGATTATCAAATGTGATGCAGTCGTAGTTGGTTCTGGCTCAGGCGGTGGGGTTATTGCTGGCGTTCTAGCAAAAGCTGGTTACAAAGTGCTTGTCTTAGAGCAAGGGAAGTACTATGCCAGAAGCAAGCTTTCACTTCTTGAAGGACCCACTATGGATCAAATGTATATGGGAAATGGATTGCTAGCAACTGACGATATGGGTGTCGTAGTACTTGCAGGTTCCACCGTAGGTGGAGGTTCCACAGTAAATTGGTCAGCTTCGATTCGTACTCCCCAGCATGTACTCAAGGAATGGTCTGAACAATGTGAACTAGAATTATTTGATAGTATATTATACAAAGAAGCTTTGAATGTTGTCTGTGAAAAAATGGGAGTTCAAAATGAAGTTAAAGATGAAGGATTCCACAATGCAGTTTTAAGAAGTGGGTGTCACGAATTGGGTTATCCTGTGAATACTATCCCTCGAAATTCACAGGCAAATCATTATTGTGGTTGGTGTTGCTTTGGCTGCAAAGACGGAAGAAAAAAAGGTACCTCAGAGACATGGCTACTGGACTTGGTGAATTCGGGCAATGGTGCAATTCTTCCATCGTGCCAAGCAACAAAAGTCCTGCATAAACGAAAGAAAGGAAGAGATAGAAGCACTACGACTGGAGTTGCTTTTGAATTCCAATACAAAGGTTTTAAAGAAGTTTGCATCGTGGAGTCGAAGGTGACTGTTGTTGCTTGTGGCGCTCTCAGTACTCCTTCACTATTGAAAAGAAGTGGCTTGAAAAATCCAAACATTGGCAAGAACCTACATCTCCATCCAGTAACAATGGCATGGGGCTACTTTCCAGACAATCCTTTGCCCAATACATGGCCAGAAGTGGACAAAAAGAGTTATGAAGGGGGGATAATGACAGCAATGTCAACAGTTGTTGGTAACTTTAGTAAGTCCGGCTATGGTGCTGTGATTCAGACACCTGCATTGCACCCTGGTATGTTCTCAGTTTTAATGCCATGGGTTTCTGGTATTGATATAAAAATGCGAATGTGCAAGTTCTCAAGGACTGCCCACATATTTGCACTAGCAAGAGATAAAGGATCAGGAGAGGTGGTTTCACCAAGCTCAATCAGTTATCGGATGGACAAAATTGACGAAGAGAATTTAAAGAGAGGACTAGAGAAGGTTCTAAGGATATTGGCAGCAGCTGGAGCTGAAGAAATTGGAACCCATCATTGTAATGGGAAGACCTTAAATGTAAAACAAGTGAGTTCACATGAGTTTGAGAAGTTTGTGAAAAAGGAGAGTTCCAGGTCATTGAGAAACCTATTGACACCAATATGTTCAGCACATCAAATGGGGAGTTGCCGAATGGGGGTTGACCCCAAGGGCTCAGCCGTGAACCAGATGGGGGAGACATGGGAGGTAGAGGGACTGTATGTGGCAGATTCCAGTGTCTTTCCCACAGCTTTGGGTGTGAATCCAATGGTAACTGTTCAGGCAATTGCTTATTGCACTGCACAATCTGTTCTCGAAGTTCTTAGGAGGAAGAAGAATCTATAGAAAAAAACTTTCTTAAGCTTGAGAAGCAAGAGTTTTCATTAAAAACTAGTAAGGTCAGCACGTGCAATGCACAGGTCTTCTTTTTTTCTTTTTTCTTTTTTCAATTATTAATATTATGTTTGAATTCTACAATAAGATCAAGACGATTTTATATTTGTTTTATCCATGTGGAATCATTAAATTTGATCCAATAAGCATAAGAAAGTTTTATTACATATTATGAGTTTGTCAGCTTTATTTTTGTTTTTTGATTTTCTCAAGAGTTTATTATGTTGTTATGGTATTAGGTTTGGCAATAGATTTGAAGTTTAAATATACCTATTGTTTATCATTGTGGTTGTTTTCCGATTCATGCTCTGTGTGGTATTGTGATCCAATGATTTGTCCATAAGTTGAAGTTTCATCTATAAAATAGTTTTGTCCATAATCTGCAAAACTAATATCGAGCATTAAGTAATCAATTATGAGGGGAAAAAAAAATTCAAAGTCTACAACCAACTTTGTTCAGTGGATTTTGATATATATTTCTTATTGGTATGAAATGTTTAGATATGATAATATGTTTTGATTTATGAAAGACATTATCAGAATGAGTATGCATGAACTTTTTAATTGTCAGTGTTGCATTTTCGACTATCGTCAATCTATTCTTATCATTCTTTGAATCATAAAATTACACAGTTAGAAATAACAAGGGCCATTGGATGAAAGGAATTAAGGCACCATTTGGATGGATGGTTTTCAAACTAGTGGATTTAGGATTAAACTTTTCTAAAAATGTAAGAGAGTTGGTTATATTGATAGACTGAAAAAACTGAAGGGAAAGAAAGATTTGAGTTAGAAAATAAGTATTTTCCCATGATTTTACTCAATTAGAATTAGTATGTGCATTGTTATTTCAAATCCATTATAATTTATCACGAGTCACGACAAAACTCTCAAAGTCAATTAACAACCAAATTTAAATTTGAGTTGTCCCCTTGAACAATAAGTTTTTAAATCTTTTTCCTTAAAATCCATAATCCAAATACACGAAACATGTACACAGTTTTTTCATCTCAAAGTAGCAAATGATGTGAAAGAGGAAATATTTTTTCAGACTCTAAATTCCAATATGTCTAGGGAATTCCAAAGCCTCAATAGAATGAGAAGTAAATAAAAAGATTAGCCCTGTAACAACTATCATCATCATACCTATGGGTGTTGATTTTTGACCACACAATCAAACAGAAAAACTCAGCTAAAGAGCACCGACAAAATAGATCAAACCTGAACAACTTGTCACAGAAAGATAAGAATCCGACGGTAGTTCGTCTACCCAGGGGCACTCCGACGATCAAGTCAGTAATCAATATCTCTCAAAGATAGCAAATTGTGCTTAAACTCACAAGAAAGAACTTACCTCAGACCCACGAGGGTGCCTTGCCTTTATACCCAGCAATGACCTGATCCTTGCAGAAGCCTAACTTCAATAGACTTAGGCTCAATGCTCATCTTGGACTCTCAGCTAGATAGGGATAAATTCCCTAAGAGCTTTATCTTTATCCAGACTATGATCCTCCCCTATTCTAGGACTCTTGTCCCTTATCCGCTCATCTCGGATTCTGGTATCTCCGCAGATAACCTTGGCCTACACGAGATCACCTCGGCGCATAACCAAGCCACGTGGCACCTCGGCTGACACTTCGGCGTCACCTTAGCCACGTGCTGTCATACACAAAATATGTCCTCACAACTGCCCCCTAGGTTCTATTACATTGGCAACCTAAGGTGATGGAACCTACACCGTTTGTCCAGATTTTATGTCAGCTAAGAATTCACTTATCCTTCTGACCGAGACCATGGCTCGTCGGCTTCATATAACTAGGACTCAACTGTCCATCTTTACTAATGGCCAAGAACCAAGTTCTTTAAGTTCCTTAACTGAGATCATTCCTTTAGCCGAGGTTTTTGCTTCATTAAATCAATAACTCCAAGAGTTTTGTCTGCGTATGAGCTGTTACACACGATTTTTCTCAACCGTTTCCGCTACACGTTCTTTTCGCATTAGTTCGTACCTGACACGCGCTATCAGGTCGCGTCACTTCTGCATACACCGCCTGACAGACACGTCATCCAAGGCATATAATTATGGTTTTTCGCCTTTTCATATTTTTGACAAAACTTCTCATTCTCTCCGTCTCTTCACTTTTGAGAATTCAATTTGCCTTCATCCAATTCTGTTATACCATGTGTGGCCTTAAGTCTGAAAAAGACTACATATACTACCTCAAGCCTAGGTCCACTGCCTACAAATTAATAGCCGACCTCTTAGACTCTAACAAGGGTGCTGGAGATGATTACGTCATCGTCTCGGGCAACTAGGAATTTGCGCCTGACGACGATCTTCATCTCTATCCTCTACGACGATCGGTGTTTAAAGAGGGTGATGGTAAGAGCTGAGTTAACCTTTAATTATATTTCGGCTAGGACTTGTCAGTATATATCTATTTTTTGAATGTTTTTCTTCTCACTTCTTTTTGCAGCTCTTCCCCAGCCAGCAGAGGATTTCCGGAAAACCTTCTTCTCCAATGTAGCTCAACTTTTTCGCGCCTCCTTTTGGAAGGTCGAAATAAGCCCTGCAGTTCGGACTCCCACGGTTCTGAATCTAATCTCACAAGTGCAATGTGAAATTGATATACACCAAAGGGTCCAAATCCGACAAATCTTTTGGAAAATCAATTTTGAATCAAATTGTCAAAAATGGACTGCTTTGCCAAATACATAGTCGCAACCTAAATATTTTGTTTTGGGAAAATTTAGGAAACTTATGACTCGTGCCATAGGCCACGTGTCCGTCATTACCAAGATTGTCTCAGCTCGGGAACTTGGGTACGAGAGGGGAATGTCATGAATGCATTTGAGCACCCTCTCTTGCTCGATCAAAGATTAGCATCTACTAATCATGATATGAATCTTATATATATTATATGCTCTTATTCCGGTTTATTAGGCTAACTTACTATGTGATGCGCACACACACAAGTATAGACTAACTTCGCAAGAATTGGAACATTTCAATTCATGTTTGTTTTTTGAAAATTGTTTCGAAATATGTACCCCTTAAAAAAGTAATCGCATATGAACATTACTCAATTTATTCCAATTCAAGCAAATAACCTTCATCCACAGGCATACAAGTAGTTATAGAACTTAAGCAATTAGCATCATGGCAAGCATGCTAGACATGGTAATATCAACATTTATGCAATTATGCTAAAGCGAGTAAAGGCTCACCTAATACTCTAAGCCAAAAAAGAAATAAGTTAGAAAAATGCATGATTCCTAACTATGCAATATGACTAATGCAACACATACGATACGCAATTAAATAGGCTCGGCTACTTAATATGGCATATGAAACAATTAAATAGCATGGAGTCTAAGCACGTATTCAAAGAAATATTGAACGAACAATGCAGTTAGAATGATGTGCCGAGAATTGATACATGCAATACAAATGGATACAAACATGAAGAATGCTAATTGAAACATGATGTCCCTAAACTAATCATCGTAAGCAGTTAAATAAAAGGGAGAAAGACATGGGGTTGAAAAACATACACATTATTACATTGTGCTTTCACGAAGGAGAATCTGAATGAATAAACTAGCTAACTAATTACAGCTAAGCTAATTAATCTAACTATTACAAACCGAAATGAATGAACTAGTTAAGCTACTTAACTAATTATTACAACAAATGAATCAACTAACTATTCTAGTTAACTAACTAATTACAAAATGAAATTGAATAACTAATTAACTAACTAATTAGTTACAACACTTTACAAAATTAACTAGCGACAACTAATTAATTACAATAAATGGCTAAGGTAAGTATTTAAACTGCATAGGCTCGACATGCGAAGAATGCTCATGTACGTACTTGGTTTCCACCCGAAAAGCCATTGTTTTGATTCTAGAGAGCTTCTGTTGCACAATAGAACACCAACATTATTGCCCACTTCTAGAACAACTCTGCTCTGCCAAAGGAACACACTGCTGAATTTTGCATCAGTGGCCCATCGGCCAGTGATGAGTGTTGTCGGCCACTAGTGATGGCCGGCCGGCCATCAAAGGTAATCTGCCAGCCACCTGCCGAACACTGCTGTCCAGTTCTCCTTGCTGCAATAGAGGACAAACAGAGCATATACAGAGTATTTCAAGGGTTTGTTTGCACAACTCACCCCTCATTTTCATGAGCAAATAAAAGGAGTAGCAAGTTCGGTTCACAAACCATCAATGGATGCAATTTCATTGCATGATGGCTTATGAAACCGAGTGTGCAAGTTTAATAAATGCAAAACAAGACACAAATATCCTCCCTTTCATGGAAAATCAAGGGAAGTGATGACCTTGAAAACTTGAATCATTTCATCACAAGTAAGTATGAAATGGTTCGAGTTTCCATGTGTTCAATTAACGTCCGATTGAACACAATCAAACTATTATCTTGCTCACTTTTAATTCCAAGTTTTAGTTACTCCATTTTAGTTACATTTCCATCCTTTAATCAATTGAGTCCCAAAAGGTAAGATTAAGTCATCTAATGGAAAGAGGGCTCAAACCAAAAGTTGTTTTAGGCATGAAAGATATATCATACCGTTGGTAATGAACCCCCTAAGGGATTAAACCATTAAGCATGACATATCAATCTCATGCTTTTTACAAACAAGTTGTTTAAACCACTTTCAAAGCAAAATAAAAAGTCAAGAAAGGCGAGAGGTTGTAGAGATTATTAGTGCTGAAAATGAGTGAGAAAAGAATAAATAAATACTATCAACTCAAAGGAGATGGTGTATAAGGCCTAGAACATCAAACTCATAAGGACTATTACACTACAAGCATGCAAAATAAAGCTCAAATACAACTAATAGCCTAAAACAGTGCTAAAACAGGTCTAATACAGTCCTAAAACATGCTGGAATTGAGCTAAAAAAAGTCTAGATTAACAAACTAAAACATGGTACAAACTAGACTAGTAAGCAAGACACAAAGAGGGGAGGCTAACTCCTCCAAATTTGAACTTCAAAATATGATTTTGGCCACTGAAAAAGCTCTGAAAATCAGTGTTTAAAAGCTCAGAAAAAGATAGTAAAATGATGGGAAACACAAGGGCAAAGGTCTTCAAAACAAGGTACCAAGGAGGGCTATCAACCCCTCAACCTTTAATGACCC